AGTTTTTTTAGTTAACTTGTTGAGCAAAGTTTTGTTTATTACAAAAAGCGATTCAGATGTGTCGAAGCAATCATAATGCTTGTTAAAATTTTGGCATAAGTACCGAAAAGCATCATGCATTTCAAAGTTTGATTTACAAATACTCAGCACAATAGGTTTAAAATGTGACCATCCCGTTCATTAACTTCATTAAAAAAAAGAACACCAAGCATCTCTCTACGACTCTGAAGCGTTGGCAAATCTATAAGCTTCAGGCGATCCTTGTAGGGTGGGAGATTTTTAGACGAGTCCCAACATACATTTTTGAGGGCAAATAACAGGAACTGTTTCTGCACTGATTCGAGCCTGTCACTATGAATTTGATAACTAGGATTGCATACTATAGATGCATACTCCAAAATCGGTCTAACTAGAGAGGTAAAGAGAACTTTAGTGACATAAGGATCGTTGAACTCCTTGGCCCAGCGCTTAAGAAAAGCCAACAATCCTCTAGCCCTAATCACGCAGGAGTTTATGTGAGACTTGAATTCTAGTTTCGGATCCATAGTTACACCTAGGTCAATGAAATTGGTCACTTGCTCAACATTGTGGTCAGATATCATATACGAATTTGGGTATAACGATTTTCTAGAGAAGGTCATGAATTTACACTTTTTCAAACTGAGTGACATGGAATTTGCTTCACACCACTCGAAAATGCATGATAGGTCAGCTTGCAAATTCTCCCTATCTTCTGCAGTTCTAATGTACTTAAAGAGTTTAACATCATCAGCGCACATTAAGCATTTCGAGTAATTCAACACGTTAGGAAGGTCATTTATAAATAAAATAAACTAGACGGGACCAAGATGGCTGCCCTGAGGTAAGCCGGACGTGACATGTATTGGCCGGGAGGTAGAATTTTTAAAAATTACTCTTTGTTTTTTATCCACTAAGTAAGAAGAAAGCCAGCTGAGAAGAATAGGAGGGAAACCAAGTCGATCAAGTTTATATAATGGGTGATTTTTTTGAGGTTAGGATTTTCATGCATTAGTATTTGACAGATCACGTGGGATTTCAGACATGGTGTCAAAGAGAAAGATGCTCAGTATGCTTTGACATTTCATCATGAATAGACTTACTAACGAGCAACGCTTGCAAATCATTGAATTTTATTACCAAAATCAGTGTTCGGTTCGAAATGTGTTGAATGTGTGAAAAGTTGGCAGAAAATCCGCTTTTTTATCGACAAATTTTGTTCAGCGATGAGGCTCATTTCTGGTTGAATGGCTTCGTAAATAAGCAAAATCATGCGATTTGACGCCTTTAGACTATTTTTTGTGGGGCTACGTCAAGTCTAAAGTCTACAGAAATAAGCCAGCAACTATTCCAGCTTTGGAAGACAACATTTCCGAAGAAATTCGGGCTATTCCGGCCGAAATGCTCGAAAAAGTTGCCCAAAATTGGACTTTCCGAATGGACCACCTAAGACGCAGCCGCGGTCAACATTTAAATGAAATTATCTTCAAAAAGTAAATGTCATGGACCAATCTAACGTTTCAAATAAAGAACCGATGAGATTTTGCAAATTTTATGCGTTTTTTTTTAAAAAAAAAGGTATCAAGCTCTTAAAAAATCACCCGTTATAAGGGTTGAATGTGATACTCTATCAAATGCTTTGCTGAAATCAGTGTAAATCACGTCCGTTCGAAGATTGTTTTTAAACCCATTAGACACATAAGTAGTGAATTCAAGAAGATTGGATACAGTTGATTTACCTTTGCAAAAACCGTGTTGCGATAGATCAATAGCAGAGGTAATAGAGTGAGATAGTTCTTCCGTAACGATTGCCTCAAAAACTTTAGCAATAGCACAAAGCTTCGCAATTCCTCTATAGTTTACGATGTTAGTCCTACTTCCATTTTTATAAAGTGGCAAGATAAACGAATCCTTCCAGGAAGATGGGAAGACACCCTGTTTTAGGGAAGCATTAAAAATATTTGCCAGAGGCTTATACAAATACTCTGCACAACTTTTAAGAACACTTGTGGGTATACCGTCTGGGCCAGCTGTATATGAAATTTTCAAACAATTCAAATGAATGAGGACGTCCGCAGCAGATATCGATGGAATTCGGATACAATCAAATGATGGCAGATCGAATGGGTAGCTAGATAGATTCGAATTCAGTTGGGAAGATGTAGAACTGGCAGAGTAGTTTGACTCGAAGAAACCAGCAAACATATCGGCAATAATATTTTCGTCACTGGAAACTAAGTCATTTAACTTCAATGTTGAGGGATAACCGTTAGTCTTACGCTTAGTGTTCACAAATGCGTAAAACGATTTGGGATTAGAAACTATATTGAGTCGAACCCTGTTAATATAATTATTGTAACACTTTTTGTTCAATACATTGTATTTATGCCTAAGAATGGAGTACGCGGAGTAGTGAGAAGACAAGCCAGATTTTTTAAAAAGCTTAAATGCTTTGGATTTTTGATTTTTTAAGCGTTTCAATTCGCCAGTAAACCACTGAGCGTTAGACGTTACGTTAGCTTCCTTAACAAGAGGAATGATTTTACTGAAAATGTGGCGTAAGGAATTGCTAAAATGTAAGGCACTATCTTCAGCATTCCCATCATACTGGGGCCAAGTTATCTTCGGTATCTCTAACCTAAGTTCACTATAATCTGCTGTTTTAAATGAGTAACGCTCCGCTCTTAATTTTTTACTGGTAGAGCAACATGAGTTGCGTGAGTTAATCAAAGGATAACTAGGGGCTATTGTGACGTTGGAAACGTCGTCCACAAAAACTAAATCCAGACATTTACCTAAGTTATTACTAATAGAGTTGATCTGGTAAAGACTTAGGTCTGAAAGATTGTTCAAAAATTGATTGAAGAGATCACGAGAGGAATTTGGCACTAGAATACCATCTATTAGATCCCAAGAAACACCCGCAAGATTGAAGTCACCCAGGACAATAACAGGATCGGAGGGTTTCAGCATGGCATGTAGAGAGAGCAGCAAGGAGGAGTGTTTTAAATAAACAGAAAGTCTCGAGTTAGGTGGTTAATAAGCAGCAACAAGATAAACGCTATTAGAATGATATCTTATTCGAACGCAGAGGAATTCAACTTCATCGGTGTCAGTGAACTCAAGTTCTTCAGAAGAAAGGTCAGTCTGGACAGCTATTAAGACGAAGTTGAACACATTCGGCTTGAGACAGGTTTCAGTAAACACCAGTACTTTGAAGTCAAAACCATGGGACTGCAAGTGTAACCTTGATAGCTTTGTGTTCAAACCTCTCACAATTTGGTAGTAAATGCTAATGGTGAGGTTACTTATTAGTTTTTTGATGCCGAGGTGGAAGGTGGAAGTTGAGCCAAATATTGCTCTTGCGGTCTAGATCTAAATTCAAATTTGCGAATGAAGGCACGGCTTGGCCAAAAAGATGGGCTCATTACTCTATCAAAGCAGTCTTCGGATATGTCTATTTGAAAAGAAGAAATGCTTCTTTCATACGAGAATCTGAACTTGCGTACATGCAACTCATTTGCTATCAGCCTGGAAGTTAAATACCCCTTCACATCATCGACGGTGGTATCTTTTGAAAACCTAGATACAAAGACCGACTTTTTTTGGAAAAGACAACGATTAAATCCCTCGGGACGGGGTTAACGTAATCGGAAACGGTCTCAGCTGTGGCAGGGGGTTGCGGTACAGCTGTCAAATCCTTGAAAGGAGAAACGATGGCTCCGGATGTGGTAGGGGGTTGAGATGTAGTTGTGGAGTTTTTGGAAGGACCAACGACTACTTCCTTCCGAGCGGTGTTGACGCAATCGGAGACGGCTTCAGATGTGGTAGAGGGTTGAGATGAAGCTGTTGAACAGGAATTTAGTGAGACTCCAGTAGAAGAAGGACGTGGTTGGGGAGATTCAGTCCGCTGAGGAATCGGTGTGTTAAAACTTATGAGTTCTTTGTTCATAGCTGAAGTCAAAAGTTGGCGGTTCTGCGGAATATCAAGGTCCACAGTGATGGGATTCAACACAATATTTTCCACGCCTTTCCTACGTCTTTTAAGACCTTTTCCAGGAGAAGGAGAGGAGGAAGTATGTAGTAATTTAAATTCTTTGAATTCATCCTTATACTTCTTGAACTTCTCGTTGAGAAGTTTTAGCTCTTTGCTTATCTCCGAAAATCCATTTCTAGCGGTTCTAAATAGCTTACAGAGATCCACAACAGTTTTTTTACACTTCGGACATGACCAGCGAAGTCCATTGTCTCCATTAATCATATCCAGAACTCTCCCATTAATACCAGCACACTTTAAATGAGACAGTTCATCGCAAAGCCAGCACGCCACAAAACGGTCCGAACCGGCTTTTACATTACATTTTTCGAACAGACAGGACATTTTCAGCGAATTTTATTAAACAAGAATAAGAATAACGAAATTAGGAATGTATTGTACGAAAATGTTTCAAGCTCACAGTAATTGGCAGTTTAATAGCTAATGGTCTTAGTTAGTGAAGTTCAATGTTTAGAAACCGTGCTGAACTAAAGCCAAATTTAGATCGGGACGAGTTGATAATCAAATAAGTCTTGAAAGCAATTTTTTCGCATTCTCTTCTGTACTCTCTATTTGCTTCCAGACGCGTCAACTTTTATTGAATTTAAGTTCGTGGTTCTTTAAAAGGGAGGTATCTGCACTCTTTTCCTTTCTTCTCACCTCCTTCGCCTTGGAACGAGCAGACTTGAAAGCAAGACTTGACGTGTCTGAAAGCTGGCTAATTTGAGTTTATGACATTCGATACGATCCCAGGATTCTGGTACTTGATTCCTAAAAATATCGTTTTAAAACTATCGAGTAAAAAATATCGGTATCGAATGCCAAAAGTATCGATATGGTATCGTATCTCATCGAAATTTGTGTCCCAAGCGGTGAGCTAGTATATTATATTCCGCATCATTGTGTGCTTAAAAAGTTCCGCGTTATTTTTAACGCTAGTTGCAAGATGGATTCAGGAGTTTCCTTGAATGAAACTCAAATGCTTGGGGAAAAATTACAGCGTGATCTCGCCGAAATTATAATGAGGTGTCACAGGATTGGCATCAGCTGTGATATAAAGATGATGTTTAGGCAGGTGCGCATCATTGAGAGCCAGTATGATCTCCAACGGATATTTTGTCGCGAGAGTCCGAGGAATAGATTAAAAGAATACTGCTTAGCGGTAGTCACATATGGCATGACGGCATCTGCATATTTAGCCGTACGGTGTTTAATACAGGCAGCTCGAGAGCAAATGGAATATTTTCCATCAGCAGCTAGAGCCATAATGGATGATTTCTACATGGATGACGGTATTACAGGCGCTAGTAATGAAGATGAAGCAATAACATTGGCCAAAGAGATGAAGCTTGTGCGGGTATGAAATTATGAAAGTGCAGTTTTCTGCAGCAGCCTTAATTGCAGAGCAATGCAGTGCACTAAAACGTTTGCTGAAGCAGCTTCAATTGCAAAGCAATGGAGTGCAC